GGGGGGGGGGGGGGGGGGGGGGTCGAAACGATCGCAAAGGCGGTATACTACGTATACGCGCCAAAAAATGCGGTCGCAGAGCACTATTCCACGATCAAATATTAAAAATTTTGAGTTTTTGGAGATTATTCTCCCTTTAATTTTGGACACTTACCTCTAAAAAAAAGCCTTGTGTATCTATTGAATATTTTGTCGTACAGGCCCTCTATCCGTTGTTGAAACAGTCTGCAGAAGCTCATTCATCTGAAACAAAAAACGGTTAGTACTCTTTTATTGTATTTCAGATTAAAAATTAAAGTTTTCCATTGATTTTGGATTTATTTTTTGAGCTTTTATTCACTGAATTTCAAAGTATGAGAGCGAAGACATATTTTTTTAGCAACAAAACTAATGGTGGATCGTGATTCTTCTGAGAGCCACTATTTTCTCCAGCCTCATGAAGATATGGAATTAGTACTCATTATAAAAAAGGGACAGAGATAAAGAGACACTACCAGGGCCGGATTTAGGGGGTGGCCACATGGGCCGCGGCCCCCGGCGGCAAATCTTGCAATTTTTTTAAATGTAGGTTTTAAAAAATTGGATTCAGAAAAAAAAATACAAAAGAGAAAAGGCGACAAAATCTCTCATTTCCTGAGAGTATAATAATTTCTAATTTTGCCGTCTTTCGGTGCTACAAGAGACAGCACTTTTAATTAGTCGAGTTAAGGGAGGGACCAAACACGCAATAACGCCTGGAACGGTGCGGCGCAGAGAGCAATAATGACGAGGACTTGAGATGAAAAGGAGAAACCCTCGGCGCGGCGGTCGGCATGTAACACATATTAGCGCCTACAAGACTGCATAAATACTTCACGCATTGCGTCAAACACCGTGCGCGCGGTCAGCGTGAATCGCATAGCGCCTACAAGAGAGCATGAATACTTCACGCATTGCGTCAAACACAGTGCGTTCAGCAGCAGTCAGCGCGTCGCGGCGACGGAAGTTAATCATCTACGCCCAAGCGTTACGTATTCGTAACAACATATTTTCAGGGTTTTTAAAAATTGAATCTTTCCCCTGTGCCATGATTTTGCAAAATTTCATTAGTTTTTTCATTTTTTGAAAAATTGATTCCCTTAACTTTAAAATTTTGAAAAAAAATTTACCACTCTATTTTTTTTATGCAAGCTACAAAATAGATTAGTGTCCCCTAGAATCTGAGATCCAAAATTAATTAATGCCATAGAGGGTTCAAATTATTAGACCGCATTTATATTTGCTCTTTCATAATTTTTTCGTTCATTTCTTATAAATGGAAGGCCTTGTTCACACAGGGATAGGTTTATGGAACTTAGGTAATTTTCGCGCAAAGCTCCGTGAACTTTTGCTAGTAGTGTTGACAGGGCTTTCGCAAAAGAAAATGTGTCCAACACGAGTAAACGCATCTTATGCACCCCTCCCCTTCCGTCACGTTCACTTGATGGTTTTTACCGATGGTTCAAAACGGATGAGAAAAGGGCGGCTAAATAAAGGCGACCCATGGGCGGCAAGTAGGTAAATCCGGCCCTGGACACTACTAGAAAAATTAAAATTAAATCGACTTGTGTATCCCAAGTTGAGAAGCACACAGACTGTAGTTTCGTTATGGAGTCGATATTTGTAATAAAAGCATGACCATACGAGCGATACTTCGGCAGGTTCAATGTGAAACGAACCGCGAAAAAAACTTTTACGTAACTAAATGAGATATTCTGGAGGGGTGAGGGTGTGGCTCTCCGCTTACATCTTCAATTTTCCCCTTATTTTTCCTCATTTTTAACGAATCGCAACGCAAATTGCATTTAATAGATGCAATAAAGCAGAATTATAAGAAGGAAACCCAAATAAATATTTAAATCGGTACAAAAAAGAATAAGAAAAAAAGACAAGAATAGTCGGAACAAAAACGAGCATCGATGACAAAGCCAAAAGCGATTGTATGACCTACTGCCTCCGAGGTAAGAAAAAAATAATAATGATTGAATCCTGACCGTTGAGAGTTGATCTAGAGTGTCATCTATGGATGTTTACAAGCGGTCATTAAATTTTATTGGGGTGTTTCCTTGGCAAACAGTGGTGAAGGAGAATCCGTCGGCTGATAATTTCTATAACATAAATGTTTTGCTATAGTGAAGCTGAACCTTTGTACCCCAGCAATCATATTGCCCTGCCATCAGCTGGAATATAAATTATCATTCGTTATTTTTTGCAGACCTTGGCGTCAGACGGGCCGCTGTAATAAACATTTCTTCTGATTTGGGATCCATCGAATGCGCCGCCGGGCATATTCACAGAAGTTTGAGTTATAATGAAAGCAAGGTAAGGAGCCTTGTAACAACTTTAACACTTATGTTGTTTGCTTAGACGCAGACAAACCTGATGGTAATCTTCGCCTATTTTTAACACGGCGAGATTTACACCTCACGAAATGAACCGTTCCACTCTGGTAATTTCACAAGTAATGGGAGTAACAATCCAAAATCAATCGGAAATTGACCATCATGACAATGGGTCAGTTGCGCTGGTCCTTGAATCGTGTTTTGATGCTTGATTCTTGTGGATTAGCTAAAAATAAAGATCTCTCCAAACGGAAACTCTCTACATTCAATATTAGCTGAGATATCACGCTTTGAAAATTTTGGTTTATGACGTCATCCACCGCGGTAGTGACACCTTCGGTTTCTTACATCTTGCTTCCATCAGTCGGAGTGACGCCCATTTGCACTTGCACCAGTCACTCAACGTAAAACTTCGATGAAAGCAAGGTGGAAGAAACCAAGGTTGTTACCTAGTTGTTACTACCGCGGTGGATGACGTCATAAACCGAATTTTTCAAAGCGTGATATCTCAGCTAATATTGAATGTAGAGAGTTGCTGTTTAGACAAATCTTATTATTTTTAGCTCATCTACAAGAAGCAAAACACGATTTTGGGACCACTTCGACTAACCCATATTCCTCCTTTTGGTTGAATAAACAGACTGAATTCTTCACAATTTCAGGGTGATTTGAATGAAAAATTTTCTGACTTTTCCAAGACTTCTCAAAGCTCCTGCTGCATGCTTTCTCGTGACAATGCTTTACTCAAAACTTTTAGGGCAAATCTCTTGAAATTGAAAATAATGGAATTTTTCGCCCTATGCAAAAAATAAGACACCGCAGCGCAATCCTTGAAAACATAGGGTATAGCGTTATCCACCAGTGGTTGTGAATACCATGGTTTCAACTGTCGGTGAGACACACATTTGCACTGATCGCAAGCAGTAAAACACGGATGTAACTACATGATAAAAAACACTTTTTTGATTCATTCGATGCTTGTGTTTCATTTTTCTAGGCTGCATTAAACATGAGCACTCAACTCCTTGCCAAAGAGCTGGCAAGAGATGGCATCTTGATGGAAAGCATCCACCCTGGAGTCGTTCGAACCGACCTGACCAAAGACGTCGAAGGCGATTGTCCAATGATAGACTCATCCACATGTGTAGCGGGGATCCTTTCGGTTTTATTGTGCCTCCAAGGAAAGAACAAAGACGGGTTTTTGGATTACAAAGGCAACGTTTTGCCATTTTAATCACAACTTCTGGTCCAGAGAACCCCTCGTTGGTTCTCAATTCCTCTCTTTCAATTCATGTATTCTCCAAAAGTTGCTTGGAAAGTGACTTTTTTCGAAGAATCAAATGGATTGCATTTTGCAAAAAGGAACCACTGGCATTGCAATGTTGCTAAGATTGTGCAACTTCTTTTTTCTTGGAGGAAAAACCCGATTATCCATTAATAGTTTCTATTTTACTCGCTAAAAACTGTAAATTTAAAACAAAAATTACCATCTAAACTTCATAGTTTTTCACGATTTCCGCAATTTTATTGCAAAAGATGAAGTTGCACAATCTTAGCATCATTGCAATGCTAGTGGTTCCTTTTTGCAAAATGCAATCCAAATGAATTTCATTAAATCAGCAAGAGTGAGAAATCTATATTACATGATGAAACCACTATAGACCACTAGTCAAGGTAAGAAACTAAGCACTACAAAACGTGTTCCCTCGTCAAAATTTTACTCAAAACATGATGGACTCAAATTTCCCGTTCGACATAAACCAAAATCTCCTTCAGTCTAAAATGAGCAATTAAGTAATTTCAGTGTATTATGATAAATTAATTTTCTCAAAGAGCTGTATCATTTTTAAGGAATTAAACAGTAACATGCATTACAAAAATGAGAAACTACCAACAATAACGAAAATTTTCCAAAAAATAAGATTGCTTTCAATACAGCGGTGGTTCATGTTTCTTTTATGGAAAGCGGGAAGTTTGAACTGTTTGATTCCGATGTGAAGTGTAAGCGTTTATTTTTTATTTTTAATGAGTTAATTGGACGTATCTGTGCTAAAAAGATCTATTGCATAGGGTTCACATGCAACATAGTTCCTTTCAGCAGAAATATGTTCAATCGTGCAAATATACAGCACCTTCAAAGTGTTCTGCGCAAATTGTTGATGAGGAAATATGGCTTGACGTGGTACTATAAGTTTTACCCTTTCTAGTAGTTTGCTATTAGTGAAGGAGGTCAAAATTATACTGCAATGTGTGTGATTTGTGAGTAACTGAAACTTTAAAAGGAAGTTTATGTAACTTTGCTTTGTGACATTAAAACACATTTCAAAATGAAATTTCTATCGACTCTCTTATTCCTGAAACGAACCCCTCTATACCCTGGGATTGTTCATTTATACATAACCTACATTGCACATTTTTTTAAAAATCTCCCCTTCTACAGCGCACTTTAATGCAAGTCTCCATTACTTATGATACTGCTAACACTTGAAGGCAAAGATTTAATCACGTTCAACTTCTCGGTGGACATTGCGATTGTTCCATCAATCAGCTCTAAAAGTGGATGGCTCAATCCTCTCTCTTCACTGGCCAGTAACGGTTAGTCAGACTTAACGTTTTGGATGTAAAATGCAACAACTGATCCGACGTGATAGCAAAGAAAGCAGTAAGTGTCAAATTTTCAAAATCGAAGTTCCTTCAAAATTCGTCTAATCTCTCTTAGATGAAATCACTGAGGTAGCCAAATCAGCAAAATTCATCTTAATTGTAGGAGAAAGACACGTATACAGAAGGCGTAAGCGCGCAAAAAATGACGTAGTTTTCGGCAAGACAGCAGTAAGTGATGATAATCCTCCAGAGAGCCAATGAAAAGGGTGCTCTCAAGCAGGGTCGGACTAGCCGGCATCTGAGGGCGTAGACCCTTGGCTGGTTAAAGGGGCGTAATATGGTATATCCTGGTAAGGCATTCCCTACGTGGAGAGGGGCTCAGAAAAGTTTGGCAAAGCTGCACAAGTTTACCCTATTCTCAGGTTCAAAGTTTATTAATCGTACAGAGTAAAAATTGCAAAATTGAACGTATTGAAGTAATCGACAGACCTCTGAAATTAAAGAATACATAAAAAATTAAAACCACTACACCCATCCAAGCACCATTATTTCAAAAAGAACCGAGCCAATGCTGCGGTTTACACTATAGCTTAAGACGTGGGTCTGCAAATCCATCCTAAAAAAGAATCAGACAAGAACCTGAAAAAAGAAGAAAGAACGAGTATCAACACAGCCGAAGACAGGAAAGATGTATTCGGGCCTCTTTCTTAACTTTTCTACCGAATCTAAGCGACACCTCATTGACAGCATATAGCAGAGCATTGAGAGCTCACGCTTCGTGTCATCGCGCCTTTAATTTTGCGGATGCAGCACAGACGTCCATCAAGTACGAATAGTTGTATCTCTGCGCCGTCGTTAACGCTCATTCTTTCCCTAGCCTAGCTTTATTTCGATATTATTTACATAGATTGTGTTTGTTTGCGTTTGTCTTATTCGTAATGGTGCTTCAAACTAGAAGCATAGTGCGGAGCATTATGCGAGTTCACGACCCACGCCATCGTGTCTTACATTTTGGGCGCTTCTGGGTACCAGATGCGCCCTTTCCAGCCGTTCGACTCCCCCGATGTAACATGTACTATACTACATACCGTTTTGCCTTATGGGTAATGACGCCATTCTGGTACACCCGGGAAAATTTGATTTTCTTCTGCATCTGGTATTCGTAAAAGTTTTCGTGAAATGTTTTGCTTTTAGGCATAATAATCTCGCACGGACGTATTACCTAGTTAAACTATTTTGGGGCTTCGTTATGCTTAAATGCCTCATATTCGAGGTTGTAGTTTCAGATTGATTCGAAAAAATCACGAACAGTCACGTGATCTCTTCATTTTAGTGACGTATTACTGTGCTATTTTGTGATTGGTTCATTTTCTCGGCGCAGCATCGTCAAGCGTCAGCTGTTTGCGGCTCTGGGTTGAAGGTTTAAGGTTATTTCAGAGAGAATAGAAAGTTAGAGGCCCGACTCGATGCTAGGTAATTGAAACAGATGCGCTCGCAGCGCGCTCGCTGGCAACGTACGCAACTACTATTTTCTATTGTTTTCCAGAGACTAGCGGCGGGTATGTTGCTGCCGGACCACCTTCACGTAGGCAATTTGTTATACATCGTCCGTCCGCAATACTCTCGCTTGGCCGTATGAAACCGTTCCTCGCATGCGCAGTGTTAAAGAAGCGCCCTCCAACGCTTTGGCGTTGGAACTGCTTGTTTCTTATGCAATGTGGAAATCTATCTCGCGCGAATAGTTGTATCGCTTTTACACTTTAGATGTATCTTATTTTTTGAATTTTGTTTAAATTTCGGGATAAATGAAGGTTAAGTTTGCCCAAGATATGCTATGGTATGTCCAAATCAATAGTCTTTTGAAAAGAAAGAAATATTTAAAGGTCTCTCAAGAGGTCTATAAAAGTTGCGTATGTCTATAAAAATCGAACGTACCGTCGCCTCTAAGGGAGTTACACATAATGAATGAAGGAGGGGTATGATAAAGCGCCTGTACGTCAACTGAAAGGTGAAAATTTCACAGAAAAGTATTTAAGCTTCAGAAGGTAGCTGTTGAACCTGTGTTCGCCACTAGCATGCGTGAAAGCACCTTTCTTTACTCCTAACGCTCTCTTCTTCCGTTCATTTAAGAAATTTTCGGCATTTATTCTCGATCCTAATTTTTTTTCTCTAATTATTTTGCTTTCTGTCGGAGGGGGGCGTTTTCGGCGCGTCAAGGGGGCGTATCTGCCAATGGCAGATTGGCCTTATGGCCAGTCCGTACTGGAAAAAAAACCACATTGGATCTAGAGTCCAGACTCTTGAAAACATTGACAAGAAAAAATACTCTTGATTCGATCGGATTTTTGCTTGAATCAAAACGAAATCCGCTTAAATTCAGAGGCTTGGTTCTCGATTTAAGCTAGATTCTGATTGAATCAAGAGTACTTTTTCTTGTCGATGTTTTTAAGAGTCTAGACTCTAGATCCAATGTGTTTTTTTTCTAGTGCGAGCCTGCTCTCAAGTAAAGGACCGCCCGCCCTTTCCTGCAAATTTCTATCCTGAAAATGTGCACGGCCGGATTTACCTACTTGCCGCTCATGGGCCGCCTGTATTTTGCCACCCCCTTCTCATTCGTTTTGAAACATCGATAAAAACCATCGAGTGAACGTGCCGGAGGGGGAGGGGTGCATAAGACGCGTTTACTCGTGTTGGACACACTTTCTGCGTAAGCCCTGTCAACACTACAAGCTAAAGTTCACGGAACTTTGCGCGAACGTTAAGTTTCGTAAACCTATCTCTGTGTGGACAAGGCCTTCCATTTATAAGAAATGCATGAATAAATTATGAAAGAGCAAACAAAAATGTGGTTCAATACTTTTAACTTTCGCCGCCGCGCCGCGCTGACCATGCACACTGTTTTCGGTGCAATGCGTGAAGTATTCATGCAGTCTTGCAGGCGCCATGCGTTTCGCGCTGACTGCACTGTTTTTGACGCAATGCGTGAAGTATTCCTGTAGTCTTGTAGGCGCTATGCGTTTCACGTCGACCACTGGTGACCGCACTGTGTTTGACGCGATGCGTGAGGTATTCAAGCACTCTTGAAAGCGCTAAAATGTTTTAGATGCCGACCGCTGCACCGAGGGCTTCTCCTATTCATCTTAAGGCCTCGTCATCATTGCTCTCTGCGCCGCGCCGCTCCACGCCAAATTGCATGTTAACTCTGCACGTTGACTGCTCTCTTAACTCGACTTATTGAGGGTGCTGTCTCTTGTATCACCGAATGACGACACAATTATACATGACTATACTCTCAGGAAATGAGAGATTTTGTCGCCTTCTCTCGTCTGTAATTTTTTTTTCTGAATCCGATTTTTTATACCTTAATTTAAAGAAATGACAAAATTTGCCGCCTCCAAAATTTGCCGACATTGGCCGCGGCCCATGTGGCCACCCCCTACATCCGGCCCTGAAAATGTGTTTGTTGTATGTCCAAAACGCAACCACGAAAGGATGCAGAAGATAGCACTTACGGCTGTCTGGCCTGGCGATAACCTGGCATGAAAATAAAAAATACCCTTTTTATGTAATGGAAATACAATCAGTAGATTTTAATCATCTGAACCACTTCTATGAGTCTTTCGGATGATTATTGGCAATTTGACAAAGAACGGAGGCTTCTTTCAATAAAATTTTCCGGTCAGAAGCTTCTGAGCCCGTTTTCTCGAAACTTCATCTTTGCACTTACTGCTCTCTTCGCTTCGGTAGCGTTTTAGCGTCAGTAAAGTTTTGGATGTACGCAACAACTGGTGGGAGTCATTGATTTACTCGTGGTAATCGTGATGTAATGTGTACGTCAAGGGCGCTTCTCCTACCGCGGAGATCTTAAAAATAGTCCTGCTTCGCGCCCGACCGAGGAAGTTCCGCCAACCGGTTATTTCAAAACGCGGACTTCTTCGCAGGCTTCGATTTACAATTATCAACAATAAGTGAAGAAGATTATCTGACCACCGAGCCAACAAAACAAAAACGGAAATATTTGTGTCTCTTAAAGTTACTATGACATAGCCGGGTAGGAGTTTTTGTGATTTTATGCGACAATAGACAATTTTTGTGCTGATTGTTTATGAACTTTTTCGTGCTCTAAACCTGTGGGCTTGAAGGAAGCTGAAGTTCACTCGGCAGGTTAGTAGGTTTTTCATTTACAATTCAGTTTCGTTGGTTTCAGAGAAAACAGGTGTACATGGCGTCTAATGCTACTTCAGATTGAAATAGTTTTTGTGGAAGCAAAGGCCGATCTCCACGTGTCTGTGATCGCGATAAATTGCAATTTGACGGGGGAATGTATCACGATTTTTTCGACGTCGATTTATCGCAAAATTATCGAACAAAACATTGTCATGGATTGAGATAAAATTTCGATTGTATCAAACGCGATTGTTGAGAGATACATTTTCTAGAAGATTGAGGATAAGCGCTCAATTGTTGATGATTCTAGTGATTGTAGCGCAAAAAAATCGCAGCTTAGTTTCAAAATATCGCGATTTCTTCGTTGAGAAATGCTACATAAGGTGTCCCATAAAACTGAGACCAAGTCTGCAATTCGGAAAGATCGGAGAAATGATAGGTATCAAAATGCGGTTTATGAGAGGTTGTAGTCTTGGTGCGGTGTCCTCAATTGAAATAGCCTCCATACACGCTAGGCTTGTCGATTTCCTTTGACATTTTTGCAGTGGTAAATGCATAGCAGAAGTGCGCTCCAGCTAGAATTGTATTTAGCAAATGGGTGGTTTTTATACGAGGATTTAAAATAAACAAGTGGTAGGAAATAAAACATAATAATAAGAACTTTGCAAAACGATAATCCGGGTATCGGAACTTGGCTGTTTAGAAAACGCCTTCAAATGCAGCGTGATACCTCACGCATTCCGGAGAGTTCAAATAGTTGTATTATTGCGCCGTAAAAATGTGACGGAAGATTACAGTGAGCTTAATCTCGTATGTACGAGGTAATTTTGGAATTCCTTTGATTCGTATGAACTTTGATGAGAAAACTTAATTTGACATGTTTTATTTTTCTCTGGAGGTAGAAAATGAAGTAATACTATTTTGCGGACTCTCTGTTTAAAATTCCCGTTCTTTCTCCTTGCGTTGTAACCTTGTGCTATTTTCTACATACATCTTAATTTTAGATCAAAAGAAGATACTCAAAATCATAATGGAGATGATCCAATCCGTCTTAGTTACTGGGGCCAGTCGAGGCATTGGTCTGGAATTCGTAGAACAGTTCCTGACAAGTGTTTCGTTGCAAGCCAAAATTATCATTGCAACATGCCGGTCACCAGAGACAGCCACGGTGAGTTAAGTCAGCAAGCGATCATTTTTAAAAGAAATATCGCGTAAATTTGAGGCTGACAGTGAGCTCTTTTAGAAAATGTATTACTTTCACTAATCCTGTTCATAACGTCTCATACACACCTTCATTTGTGATCAAAAACGTGACGTATAATACCATCTTGCAGTAAGATTTGGAACAAAGGTATTTAGGAACGTTACAATCATAGGCAGTGCAGTGGCATGCATTGCGATACAATGATTGATCTGCCATTTGAACGTATGGAAAAGAATCGATAAACATGGTGTTCGCATCAAACACGCCTTAATAATCGATTCTTTACCACAGCTTCAAATGGGGAAATATCGATAATCGATCATTATAGCCTCGCCACTGATCACAGGGTCAAAGAAAGCCCATAACTTACAACAGAATGGTTTATTAAAAAACATATACTGACTAATGGGTTCTGAGGTGTTACTTTCATAACTGATTAGCCCTGGATAGACGATCAAATTCCGAACCAATTCCGATCAAAAGTAGACATGCTGATGACTGATGGTCACCATCTACCATCAAATTTTGACGGGCCGCACTTATTTATTCAAAGTAAGATCAGAATGGAGAGCCACCATCCATCATTTCCTGCCACAGGAAACATTTCCGCCAAGTTTTCATTTTAAAATGAAGCAAATTAATGAGTTTAATACTGATGACTCCCGACACTTTGATGCTACTTAGATCGGAATTGGTTCGGGAATTTGATCGTCTATCCAGGGCTACAATAAAGACAGTGGTTAGAAGGTGTGGCTGTGCTGTTGTGTTCATGTCGCAGGAAATTAACAATCGCAGAGAATTTGCAAGCCACAAGTGAAAATGAAAAATCATAAAACTCAGAAATAAGGGAACAAGTGCAGAGAACAACGGATTATTATACCGTTATTGTGAGTGCACTATTTCACTCTCTCCGTCAAGGCCTTGAGACACACGGCGATTAATCGCCGCGGGTGAAAGACGGAAGCCAATGGAGACCCTTGATTTCGATCCATTGACGTCGATATATCGAAATCAAGGCTCTCCATTGGCTTTCGTCTTTCATTCGCTGCGGTTAGTCGCCGTGTGTATCCAGGCCTTTAAAGACGGTCGAACTAACAAGCCTACTCTGAAGAGCAAGTAATGAAATTCGAGACCTTGGTAGGGTTTGGATCGGATAGGCAACTAAGCTAACTCTGTAACAGTGCGTAGAGTATCATACAGAAATGAAGGGGCTCCAACCCGTGATCATTTCTTTGAAGCCTGTTGGTGCCATCACCCATCAAACCTTCATTATGCCAATGCGCATTGCTACGATTTCTCGAAACATCATGTAAGCCGCTTGCAAATAACCGACGATTGCCAATTGCTTGGACCTTCTTGCCAAAGTATCTCAAGCTCCATGCAACGTTTAAAAAATGCTCGACAGATCTAGAAAATAGTTTCATGCTTAAAAACTTGATTAACCGAGTTCACATTGTTTTTTATTTTTTCATTCCTTTTTATTTTTAGGTATAAAAAGCAAGAAAGATTGGAGGAAAATAGATTTGAAAGTGAGAAAATTCACCGCCCTGGGAGTCCTGGGACACCATTTTTCATTTTAACAGATGTATTGTAGCAGAGTACATTCTACTCCTTAGAAAACCAATGATATTTTGGTGCTCAGTCCAGTGGGAAGTTTCCATTAATAGGGGATATACATCAAATTTCAGAAGAGGCCAAATTCGCGAAATAAGTCATTAGCATAATGAATAATTATTTGCAGCTCTGAAACATGGTTTTAAACATTTCATTTTTACCGTTAGCAAAAAACTAACCTTGCAAAAATTGTAATCCTTACCAAACGCATTGATGCTCTTTCCCCGTTCCTTTTTTAGGCTTTGCAGGAGCTGGGCAAATCCAGTGAGAGAGTTCACATTTTAAAATTAGGTGAGAATATTCTACATAATATTTAATGGAGAGAAGTCATTGATATATTTACATTAAATCTATTTTAGGACACGTTAATTATTGAAGGTTGAGGGAAGCTCCGTGGGTGGAACTGCGAGGGGNGTGGAACTGGGAGGGGGGGGGGGCATGGTGGGCGTACAGCGCACTGAAAAAATATTCTCGGCGTTTTTACCAAGGTCCGTTGGTACCTTTACCGTCTCACTTTTTTTTTTTACCAATTATTGGTAATTTTACCAAGACAGACTGGTAAGCTTACCTAAAACCCGGTAATTTACTGTTTCTTCAGGTAAGAATACCACTTTTATGGGTAATCAATGCCCGGTAACTTGGTCATTTTATCTCGGTAATTCTACCATGGTCGATAAAAAAATATTGGCGTTTTTACCTAGGTCCAGTAAAATTACCGAGAAAGTTCAATAATTTTACCGAGATTTCTCGGTAAAATTACCAATTCCATAAATGGTAATTTTACCAAGAAAAAACTGGGATCAAATAGAACCCTGAATTCTTGGTAATTTTACCCTTTTCTTAGGAAATACAACGAGCTTACACTGAGATTTTTTTTTCAGTGCATAGTGGGCCCCTTTCGCCCGAAAAAGAGGAAGAAAAATGGAAGAGAGAAGAAAGGAATGGAGGAAAGAAGATGGAAGGACGCTCACATAATTTTTCATGACGAAATTGACTCCAACTGCATAATAGATGCTTAAAAACTTCGAAAATTTTCTGAGCGAGCCCCCCTGACCCCCCTCTCCTCCCCCAGTCGGAAAATTTTGGATCCGCCTATGAGGAGCTCGGAACCCTGAAGTAATAATGATCGGATCAAAATCAGTCGAATAATTTTTTGGCTAAACCGCCTTCATCTGAGAAAGTATGCGATCCGAGTTCCCAGGAGTTTAAAAAGTTGCATTAATCCTCGCACTGCTAATTTTTTCAAATGCAGCCGAATTATTCTTACAGGAAGTATGCTTTTCTAGGGATATTGAAAAGTAGTGTTGTTTCCACTATGGAAAATGTTCACTCATAAAATCATCGTCTCACGCAGATTCTTCCTTCTTACTTGAATTAAAAAATCTAGCTTAGCTGATACTTTTATACACACATGCACGATGCATGTAACACTTTAACTTGCGTTGAATATCTGAGAATTTTTCAGACGTTACTCGGTTCGACACATACGAGGAATTCGCGCTTCAAGTCGGAAGTATCGTTGGCGACAAAGGATTGACATTACTCATAAATAATGCTGGTATCGCAGAAGGAAGCTTGGAAGATACTTTACTGGATATCACTCCGCAAAGATTCATCTCGCATTTCACGACTAACAGTGTTGCTCCTGTTATATTGACACAGGTCAGAATTTTATTTTTAAGCGCTCAGCCGATAGGCAGCACTTTTTGATTTCGACTTGCCTCTGAGTACTAGTATACTAGTGCTAATGCGTTTAAATGGCGCACCAGCTCATCGATGTGTAGGCTTTTTGGGGGGGGGGGGTCCATTTTTAAAATAAATAAAGCTGTGAAAACTGTATTTTATGCTTTTAACGTGATGCGCAGGTAGTTTCGATCGTTTGTCTTCAAGAAAATTTCTTAGCGGTAGAGTAATTCTTATCGAAATTGATCGTTGAAGTCAAATGAAGCCTAAAAAAAACGCGCCTGATGAGCTCAACGGTGAGCTCATTTTCGGGAAACAAAAATACGCATTTACGGTTTCCTTGGTAACCTTTGTTTGCTATCAGCTGATGTTTTATTTCCATTTCCCAGCCAAGTCGACGGAGTTTATACGTCCTTCCTTCATTAAATACATTTACTAACACCTGAGCGCTTTTCTGATACGACAGTATTAGAACTTTCCCGCTTGTTACTTTTTTTTCAACTGGGATACGTTCGACAATGAGGAACTGCTATTTCTGTCTCAGAACACCACAGCATAACACTCGTATATGTCATTGGTTTTTCTATGATGATAAGTCATTTTATTGATGAGTAAAAATAGTAAATCCTTACTTCAGCAAAATGTAGTTTTATTTGCATACTTGCATAAGATTTACCCAAAAAAATAATAAGTTGCACCACTAAGACTTTTAGACCGTAAAATGGGATTTCGTTACACAAAAATCGGTTCAGGGAAGAATGCCCTGCGTCGGTTACGTAACCGACAGAAGATTTTACGGTCTAAAAGTCTTTAGAAAAATAATAATTCCTCATATTTTTTTGGCATGAATCAATACAGCGTCACAACTTCCAAGGATTTTCAAAAACAGTTGTATTCCTCTTCAATTAAATTGTCGTATGTCTTTAATAGTTGTAAAAACTGAACCGGCGATACTAATATTCCCGTTATCGTGGAATCACTCATGAGGTATTAAAAACTTAATGCTGAAATTGAGACGCTGCTGAGATTGTACACCTTCAATACGGCTCTTCATAAATTAGAAGCTTCCATTTTCATACGTGTGCCTCATAAAATATTCTAATTTTATGAGGTAATTTTCCTGAATATTTTGCGCAAAGTTCAGTGAATTTGTATTTGAGTGGAAGCACAGCGAAGTTGCACTATCTCAGCAACAGATGATGGGCATGCTTCGGTTTTCTAAATGATCCTTTACGAAAGGAATATTCCTCTAATATTTATTGCACATTTTATCTCACAGGCCCTCTATCCGCTATTAAAGCAGTCTGCACAAGTGAATTCATCTGAGACCAACAGCGGTTAGTACTATCTTATCATATTTTCGGTAAAAATTGAGGCTTTTGATTGATTTGGAATTAATTTGTTGAGTTTTTTCCCTGAATTTTTAAGTGCATGGAAAAGAGAATGAAGACGATTTAATTATATCCTAATTCTTCTGGGCAACTCACATGAAAGCTCTATTGGCGAAGCGTGAGTGATCGATTATCGATATTTCCCCATTTGAGGCTATGGTAAAGAATCGATTATTGAAGTGTTCGTTAAGAACACCCTGTTCATCGATCCTTTCCCATTGGCTTACATGGCAGATCAATCGATTTATCGCAAAGCACGCCACGGCACTGGACAGCTCGATTCTAAAACGACGTGGTTCTTAGTCTTCACCAGTCTTAGTCAGACTTAGTCTTAGTCAGAATCTACCTACTCGTTTTGCGTCTTCAAAGCAAAAAAACCCCTTTCTTTCCGCGTTTGAGAAAAATCCGAGTTTGAGAAAAAATCCCTAAAATGATAATTTTCGTAGCTTATAAACGGTTTGCTTTGAAACTGGACCTTCATACCCTAGAAATCATGTTGCTTGGGTGAAAGTTGAAAAATGAAATATTATTTGTAATTATTTGCAGGCCTAGGTATCAAACGGGCGGCAGTAATAAACATCACCTCCATTCTAGGATCCATCAAAAAATGCGGCAGTCATATTCCCAGAAATTGGAGTTATAATGAGAGCAAGGTAAGGTAGTATGACACCATGTTTCGACTTTCGTTCTTGTAGAAATAGAATAATAGGGAGGTAATCTGCGCTTTTTTCTCATTTTTCATTAATTAGGTTATTTACCTTGGTCGAGGTTGAATCGCAGATAGATCGACCGTCGGTGTGAATCCCTAAAAAAATCCCTAGATTATTATCAGTTGCTTTTAGACAGAAATAATACTCTCGATAGTTGCATCGGTTTGGACACATAGACAGTGGACGTTTTCTGAACATTGATAAATTATAGAAGCTCTTAGTTTAATGGGACATTCCGATGGTGAGAGTACAAAATCACGTGCCATGATTAACAACGTTGACGAATTTTTTTTTTCGTTTTTACAGGAATATTTTCGGAGAATTTTGAACAAAAATGCATTAAGTATTCTCGTTAAAAAGTAAATTAAGAGTAGAAATGCGTAAACACAGCAAAAAAGCTCCATGAATCGGTCGTGCCATCATCGAATTACTACTTCGATTTTTGAATACTTGGAATGGTTCCTGGAAATAACGAAAATGTCTGAAGCGCAAAACAGCTGTTCAATCATAAATGTCAGAATTGAGAACACGCAGTGTTAAAATGCGAGGATATTAGTGATTCATGATAGGATTTTTTTCCCAGATTTTCCGCGAAATTCCTTGGTATTCGATGGGTACAAAATTTAAAAAAATTCAAAATTCTGTCATTTGACAAGCCAGATTCATTACAACTCCAGAAATATTATTTCCATTGAAAATTATGGAGAGCACGGCAGGTTCTACACTCTATACATCAAAACAAAATCAAAAGCGTGACCCTACATGGTAAAGTATGTAAAACACGCTAAAATCCTCACTGAATCCGCCATAGTCGGGAGTTAAAACACTGAAAAAAAATCCGACCGTGGAATCCGTACTTACGGGCTATATAGACACACCGTTCGCGTTCCGGGCTCAGAGGCCGAAAGTTCTGGGTGTAGCGCCCGGAGCAATCGAAGCTACGGCTCCAGCACCCGGAACTTTCGGCCTCTGAGCCCGTAACGGACGGTACGTCTATATAGCCTGCAGGGTGGCATGAAACGTAAGAAAGAAATGAAAGATTGGAAATTTCAGTGGAATATTTCATGAAATTTCACGAGGCGGTGAAATATTTCATATTTTTCAGGGGCCAGAGTATGCAACCCGCACTCAAACTCCCTAAAATAGAAGAAAATCACGATTTTTACATCTTGCGAAACATAAAGATGAACTTGTATTTTTCAATATCTTTCATAAATTTCTGACACTTCATGAAATATTTCACGAGAAATTTCAGGATTTTATTTTTCATGAAATTTTGCCACCCGGATAGCCCGTAACTTTTTTCAGTGCATTAACATTTTTCCTGCCGGTTTTTTCTTCTTACGTTCGATGTTTCTTCTCTCCTTTTCTAGGCTGCATTGAACATGAGCACTCAAGCACTTGCCGCTGAGCTGGAAAAAGATGGCATTTTGGTCGAAAGTATCCACCCCGGAGTAGTTCGAACGGACATGACCAAAGGCGTCGAAGATACTTTTCCAATGATTGACAAAATTACAAGTGTGGAAGGGATAATTGCGGCTATAATGCACCTTAAGGGAAAGAACAAAGACGGGTTTTTGGATTACAGAGGCAATATTTTGCCATTTTAATTGCAACTTTCGGTCTGGACGAACGCCAGCTGGATCTTAAATTTTCCTCATATCCTTTCACGCACAGTGGAGCGAGTCGATAGGAAAGACCATTTGGAAACTTTAAACGCTTAAAACTCTGTTTATAAAAAATTTATAGATTCTAAAAGTAGTTCCATTGGTTTTCTCGTAAAATTTTCTTCAAGAAGTACCCCTCAAAATTTGAATTGTGACGAAATAAACATCAAAATTTGCAGTTTTCGTCAATCATTTTATGTTCGACCTCTCTGATTGGCTCGATCGACTGTATGACGCCTGACGCTCCGCCAACTGCTCGCAAAACGATTTTTTCGAAAAATCAAATGGATTTACTGACCAATAAAGTAATCAATCGATATTGCGTGATACTTTAATAGTATGTAGTATTGCGTCCAATATGTTCCGTTAGAATATTCCTTGAGGAAACATGTCTTGCGGTGATTTAATTTTTACCCTGTCTAGTAGTCGATAAGAGAGGAGGGTAAAATATTAATATTACGTTCATATAATTAAGGGGCTGCCACAGAATTTAGAAAATGAAATTCCCCGACATTTCCCTGATTTTCCTGACAGATTTCGGTGAAATTCTCAAACGATTAAAGATATGCCATGTGGTTAATAAGACATTATTAGGAATAGTTTTCAGACAAAACGTGTCGTTCGAAACGCCAAACCCATTCTAAACAGCAAATAAAGGTGACCCAACAATTTATATGACATTTTAGTCATTTTCCCTGACAATTTCCGGTTTTCCCTGACTATGGCAACCCTGTTCTAAGAAAATTCTTGAGCTCCGACCCTCAGCTTTGCCGTATCTTCAGAATAAAATTTCTATGTTGTGTGATTTAGGTGTACGTAACCGAAGATGGAAGTATAATTTTATATGTTTATGCGTTGAGACATTAAAATATACCTACTTCAAAATAAAATTTCTAACGACTCTTTCATCCCTAACATGCCCCTCCTCCAGTAAGATCAACTAAGAAGTATGAAACGCACATTTTCTTTACCCATTCCCCTCGATGCGACCATATGCCAGCTGCGCTGGTAACAGAATCGTGTTTCGATGCTTGATTCTTGTAGATTAGCTAAAAATAAGATCTGCCTAAATAGCAACTTAGAATCAGTCAGTATGCCATGAAACGCATCGAAACAGTAGACTCTTAATTTTGAGATTTTGGAGAAAAAATCATGAATCTTTCTTAATTATTTACTTTCTTGAGACAGTGAAGAAGAATATGAACGGTCTTTTTCCCCTTACAAAATATCTTGTTTTCCGAGAGGATCACTGTTTTAGTTGTGTTGCATACGAATGCGTCTGTGCATGTACATTGTGTTGCATGTCAATACCAACGCGTGCGGGTGTGACTATTCGTGTCCTGTCCGTGTTGCATGCATAAAAGACTGAACGCGCTCTAGATTTGCTAATGCCACCGCCCGCGCCCGGCGCAGCGGGAAACGCGCATTGGCGCCTACAAACCTAAGGGGATACTTCACGCATTGCGTAATGCGTGAAGTATCCCCTTGGGTTTGTAGGCGTCTGTGAGTGCGCGTTTCACGCACGCTGGCAGCACGCCGCGCCCGCCCGATTCAACTACGTGTACGGCGTATTGCATGTGCGAGATATTGAAGGCGTTACCTGACTCGAATCTCGATGCCACGGATTTATCGGGTGAGTGTTTCGAGTTCAGTTTTCTTATTCAACCCAAGCGCAATAAGGTCATAAGGCGTGCACAATAACTCAAGTATGGGCGTTTAATTGCATTCTGTTGAATTGACAGAGTGTCTACTAAAGCAGGCTGACCAAAAATCAGTACTTTTACAGTACTTTTTCAGAACATTCACTGAAAAAAAACACACTGGATCTAGAGTCCAGACTCTTGAAAACATTGACAACAAAAAGGAATCTTGATTCAATCAGATTTAAGCTTAAATCAAAAGGAAATCCGCTCAAATTAAGAGGCTTGGTTCTTGATTTAAGCTTAAATCTGATTGAATCAAGAGTATTTTTTTGGTCGATATTTTAAAGAGTTTTTTTCCTGTGTTCCCAAGAAATTCAGTACCTCCTCAACAGAAAAATTCGGTACTTTTTCAGTACCTCCAATTATTGACGAAATTAAAAAAATTTCAAAAATTTGAATTTTGAATTTCGCTCCGATTGAGACAAAAATGACAAAAAAATTTGAAGAATTTCGGACCTTCTTGCGGAATTTCCGCACTTTTTCAGTACCTTCGGACCGCCCTTAAAAAATCAGTACTGTAAAATTTCCAGACTTTCCGGAATCTCCCGACTTGCAGACACCCTGCTTGACTTGAAGAAACTAGATTGTTCGGTAGGAAGAAATAAATTGCCGATGCAAATGCGGCTGGATGTCAAATATTTATCAAGTAGGTATTTCAAGTATAGTTTATTATTTAACATAAAAACAAACCTGTCATGAGACATTTCCACTTTGAAGTGCTCATTCTGTTAGGTTGACCTGAATATAAAATGTTGGAGACGAAAAATAGTAAAATATTATCGTGCGGATATTATTCGGGACAGTCGATTAGTTACACAGAAAATTGGTCGAAACGCACATCGTCTTTTCCTTTGTAGCCTCTATCTTTTAAGTTATGATTCTCTTTGGTATTTTATTAATTAGTCTGGGATAGTGAGGTCCATGTACTTCCATTTGCCGTGAAGGTTTGTACGCACACCGTTGGAATGTCCGGTCAGTCACTTTTCCATATAATGAATTTTAAATCGAACTTTTCCGTCTCCATGCTGATTAAAGGTCTGCAAGAGTCATCAATTCAGACTATCCTAGGTAGTCGTATGAGTTTGCAAAGCTACCGCAAAAGTATCCAACCGAAAAATATAATTTTTTTCGTAGATGAAGTCACTGATGTTTTAAATTTAATCTTAGAGACCAGCAGCGAGCAACGACTGAATGAGAGCAGTTGCGACCGATCATCTCAAACGGGTCGGAACTTTTCCACTTCGCGGTGCGAAAACGGTTTTTCCTCTCGCTTGAGCATTTCTTGCATTAGAATTCTCCCCAGTGAAGGTATCTATACAGTGGGAGCAGCACCAAGGAGAAAAGGACTGATAATAAAAAATTCAGAATTAGACCACGGCTCGTATATATCCGATCATGCTTACGAGCTCACACGCCCATTGTACTCCCACAACATTTGGAACTCCAAAAACTTTCTCGTATTTTTTATTTGTAAAAGGGAAAGAAGAACAAAGCCAAAATTTAACAGTCGGTAAAAAACATCTCTCCTCGGCGGTTGGCGGACTTGATGATTCCTACCATCAAAGCGTGCTCGATGATTTGTACATCGTTTTCAGATTTTCCTGGCGATTTTTGAAGGGTTTAAAAACTGTGCTATGCGTCGAAGTCGTATGCTTCTATTACGACCCGTTCACGCAGAAAATTCTCCAATATGAAGGGAGACAAAACGAGACTTATTTCGACTTTTCTTGGTCAAATTCCCACAAAACGGAACTCGCCATATAGCGACGACCGAAACGAAACATGCCATCGCGGACATAACGGGTTTCTGGAGTTGCTTATAGGATAATCTACTCTTCGTACTCGTGAAGTCGGTGTGTCATGATAAAAACTGTATTGTTTCCATGAAAAATTACATAACCTACGACAGTGAAGCATTCGAACTTAGCACAGGGCAAAAATTTGGTTTGGATGTGGTAATATTTTTGGACGACACGGTCAGCGAATCAGAGACAGATTTCTTACTTTTCGAACAAACGACGAGCATTGAGTTTTACAAACTGTGTCTGGCGATCCCTCGAGCCGATTACATACCTCAATCCCTCGTCATTTTTGAAAGTTTCTTGCCTATAATTTGGTTTCTGATACTGGTAACAATCGCGCTGTTTGTTGCAGTGCAATATGTGTATTTTAAAATGCAATTGACTGCGTTCCGCCATTTTTATTCTGAGGCCTATTTAGACTCGATCGAATCAACATCCACACTCCTGACTGTCTACGCTTACTTTCTTCGTGGCTGTCCACCCCGCTTGCTTCTGGGCAAACTGTTCACCGGAAAATTAATTTTCCTCATTTTCTCATTTGCTTCGATCATCCTTGTTACGGCCTTCCAGGATAGCATGTACACACTCCTAAGTCACTACAAGCGATATGCAGACATCAATACGCTCGGGGAGTTCGCCAGTTCGGATTTCTTTATCCAAGTGCCCGACATCGAGTTATTTCGGGCTTGTTCGGGTACGTGCCTCAGTTCGATGCATTGAAAAGCAAACTCGTAGATAACTTTTACTACATTACGGACTCGTTGCGGAAATTGGATTTGGTATCCATCGGAAGGCTCCTCGACCTTGAAGCCAATTTCAGTGCAACCCGAGAGGTGTCGAAAACAAATGGTGAGGGTCCCACGCGGCAAGCACACGGTATCAAAAAGTACGTTGCAGCTGCGCTTGGAAATGACGCGTTTTTAGTAAACATACCTTACACGTTTCTCGGCGCAAAAAATATCCGCGTCAGAGGTATTTTGACTGATGAAATGTTTGAATTGCCTCGGGTCCAAGAGTGTTTGAACTCGTACGCCTTTGCGTATCGGCTCCTGAGAAATAATTTCGTTTTTGAGACACTGAATGACAAAATCACTCAGTTTTTGGAGACGGGCCACATGCAGAAAGACCTGGAGGTAACCCGGTCTTACATTTCACATATCATGTCGGAAACGCAACCTGATGCCTCCACAGAAGACTTTCCGCGTCCTTTCGCCATGAATGATGTGTCATTTGCGTTCATTTCTCTAGTTGTTGGCCTTGTTTTGAGTTGTTTAGTTTTTATCGCTGAATTGATCGTTGGCTCTAATGAAAAGCACAAGAGCATCATTTTGAAGAGTGTAGAATTGATGAAGAATTTGAAGCGAAGGTTCTGTAGTCAATAACATGTTTTCGTAAATCAGTTCTCTATAGCTCATTGTCAGTTAGAGAATTTGGGGAGGTGCCCACGGTTAGACAAGTAATGGACCACTAGACAAGGTACGAATTTCAGCATTCTGATTCATGTTCCTGGACCAAAATTT